TCATTTAAACAATATTAGAGAGAAAAACACAACATATGTCCTTTCTGACGTGAGCCACCAGACTCCTTTGATAAAAACAGTCATTTTATTTTGAAGTTGACACAGACTTCCTGCTCTACCGCTGCCTCCATCTGTTGGTGTGTCTGTGTTATTGTGTGACTGTGGAGTTTTAACACATTAACGTGGATCCAAACTAACGTTAGTCACTGCAGATCGAGGCAGCGGGGGACCAGAAACTTCTGTGTTCTGTGAGGTAAAATGAGTGGTTTTGTAAAAGGAGTCTGGTGGCTTTAGAGAGCATAGATGGATCCTGTCAGCGAGGTTAAGTGGTGAAAGGATTCCAAATACAACAAACACTGAAACTTTTTCAGATAATTTCTTGTATTTCTGTTAAAAAGCTTGAGAGTTGTGATTCCAATGTAGAAAATCCCTTCCTTTCCTCCATGTAAGCGGTTATTATGGGCTGTTATTAAACCTGTGATTAACATAATAATGCAGGCTGATATTCAGTATGTGGTTATATGGCAGATTCCTTTGAGCCAGGGAGCGTCCGGTACTCACCCTGCAGGCGACCTCTCCGTTCCTCTCCATGGTGCAGTGCGCGTTGGTGTCACAGGGGTTAAAGGTCAACGCGGCACACGACTTCCTGGGGTAGCAACCTGAGGTCTGGTTGCCGAGGAAACCGGGTTTACAGCCGCCGCACTTATATGAACCCTGAGAGAGGACAGGACGTGTGTTACAGCAGAGTGTCCACTGGGGGGCGCCGCCTCACTGCTATATATTATACAGTATACATTATATATATAATATATATAATGTATATATCTATATATAATATACAGTATAATATATATATACAGTATATATATTATACTGTATGTATATATATATATATATATATCAGTGTCTATTCGTGAACATGAAACTCACCACAGTGTTGATGCACACAGAGTTTGATACACAGGCGTCGGGGAGATCCAAACATTCATCAATATCTACACAGTCCTGAAACAGAGAGACAGAGAGACAGAGACAGACAGGGAGACAGACAGGTGAGTGAGCAACAAGAACCAGTGTTTAAAGGGTCCTTTGTTGGTGGATGAAAGTGAACAGTCCTCCTGATGGTTCCTCTGACATACAGGTGGCCAATAATATCAGACAGAGAAGAAGACTGCAGCCAGTACACATGGAGACAATGCGGGAAGGACTGAGATGTTATTGTTGTTGTTGACATATTAACTGTACACAGAGACACAGATATAATGGTTGTTGTTTATCTGACCTGTCTGTGCGTCTTGGCGTAGTCCAGTCCGGTTCCAGCCAGCGGTGCCCCCCAGAGGCCCGGAGGGCAGGGCTGACAGCTGAACCCCCCCACAGTGTTCACACAGGCTTCAGGAGAGAAACACGGCTGTAGCTCACACTGAGAGAGAGAGAGAGAGGGAGAGAGAGGTTTTGAGGTTTAACATCCCTTTTATTGGACTTTCTCATCACAATCACATCATTACTTTAGAGCTAAACAAGACAAAACAAAACAAAACAACGAAACAATAAAAATAAATAAATATAAAAACAACAGAACCTGTCAACTAATCTTTCATCAGAAACTCATATTTAGTTCTCCACCCGCCCCCCCACAGAGCATAGAACCCCACCGACAGCCCATATGTGACTGAAGGCCTGCATATTGTCCACCATCTGATGGTAAGCATGCTCCACAGTCAGACGGGCCTTCAGCAGTCCCTTCAGAACCAGCACCGGCTCCACACTGCCAGCACCCTGAGTCCGGTTCTGCGGGTCAGCCAGATGGCCAACTTAGCAGAACCAGATATAAAGTTCACCAGTGTTATTACAATCTTATTTGTTGCATGGTTTTTCGGTCCAAAAATAAACAAATCAAAAGAAAACTTTTCCCCCAGACCCTGAAACCACCTTTTAAAAAGCTGGAACAGCGCCGACAACTGAGGACACTGAACAAATAAATGAAATAAGGTCTCAGTCTAAGAACAGAAAACACAGTCCTCCCCCTGCTCTGGATCCAGGTGCACTCTGTAGCTGGGGTGAGAGTCAGAAAGGGGAAACTGTACTCACACTCCTCACTCCACTGGTCGCACAGAGCATCGTCTCATGCAAATGCTCTCAGGGGTTGTGGCAGTGCAGCACAGACTTCCTCCACCACTCTGTTGATTAATCTGATGGAGGTGATGTTGCTGTTCTCCCTCAGAGAGTCCATCAGTGTTGCCGTCATCTTCATCAGATGGCCCAGTTTGGTGCAGCCAGCCTCTCTGACATTGGCTCTCAGGCTAGCAGACTGCAGTGTTTGAGTCTTGACTAAATTGTTGAAAAACAGAGGTTCCTCAAACAACCACATACCCGGAGTCTTGTTTGTGGCACGTTTGGTCTCGAAGATCTGCCAAGCCGCAGCACTGAGCTGTAAAAAGGTGTCAGTCCAGTCAGATCCAGGTCCTCAGGCCGTAGGAGGAAGAGCTGTTTATCGTAGCCCAAGTGTCCAGCTCTTCTCAGCAGCAGGTGAGCTGTATCAAACCAGCTTGGGAAACAATTGTATAGTAGTCTTTTTGCAGTCTGTATTTTAAAGGAGGCGATCTTAGACTGGATGTTGATTAGTCCCGGATCCAGTGCCGGCCAGTTTGAAGGTGTCCTTCAAACATTGAACATCCTCCTGATTGGTGACAAAAAAATGTATATCATCTGCATAAGCAAAAACAGTAGGAGAACAATCAAGATTTGAGGACGCAGGCAGTGAGAGACCACTGAGCCAATCCCTCAACCTGCACCGCAACGGTTTAATAGCTAAGCTATACAGTTGTCCTGAGATTGGACAACCCTGTCTTATCCCACGCTGTACAGGGACTGGCCGACTCAGCCCTGCCCCCATCTTCACCATACATTCAGCACCGCTGTACAATAAACCCACCCAAGCCAAAAAACCATCACCAATGCTAAAAGCCCTAAGTGCAGAAAACAAATAAGAGTGATCCACCCGATCAAAGGCTTTCTCCTGGTCCAAAGAGACAATACCAAAATTAACATTATCAAATTTACACATATCTATAACATCTCGAATGAGAAAATGTTGTCCATGATTGTCCTGTCAGGTACACAATAGCTCTGATCTGCATGCACGATTATTTCCAAGACGTCCTTTAGTCTATTTGATAAGGCTCTAGAAAGCACCTTATAGTCTGTGCAGAGAAGGGCAATTGGCCTCCAGTTCTTAAGTAAGGCCAGGTCTCCTTTCTTGGGCAGCAGGAAAAATACTGCCCGCTGACAGGAGACAGGAACACACCCATTTCTAAAACACTCGGATAAAACACCGTGTAAATCAGGACCAAGAGTTTTCCTAAACTCTTACGAATTCAGTGGAAAGACCATCAATACCTGGTCACCCTGATACCATCTGATGTCCAGCGACAGTCAGTTTTTCCAGAGTGAGTTCGCAGTCCAGAGCAGCTTTCTCTCCTGGGCTGAGCTGAGGAAGTCCTTCCAGGAGCTCCTCGTGGCACTCCATGCTGCAGTGTTTTGCCCTGAAAAGGTTGGTATAGAAATCCACTGCATGGTTCCTCATCTCGCTTGGACTGGTGGTCACTCTGCCTCCAGGAAGCTTGAGGCAGGTCATCTGCTTCCTCTGTGCCACAGATCTCTCCAGATTAAAAAAGAAAGAGGTCGGGGCATCCATGTCCTTTAGCTGGAGGAAACGAGACCTGACAAGAGCTCCCTTCAGTCTCTCCTGCAGGAAGGAGCTCAACTCCAGCCTCTTCTCCTGAAGCCGATGAGCCATATTGGGATACGAGTCTCCCTGTACCCCTTTTTCAATGTCCCTGATGTGAGTTTCGAGTTCCTGAACTACTACCTTGATGTTAGCAGTGGAATGAGAGGTGTATTGCTGGCAAAAAACAAATCTGTGCCTTGCCAACTTCCCACCACAACTTCAAGGAACTGAAATCTGATTTTTTGATTTTCCACTGCTGCCAAAAACACTCAAAGCTCTGGCAGAAAGTACTATCTTGGAGAAGTTTGTTGTTAAAGAACCAGTAGGATTGGACCCTTTCAGCTGGTGAAATGATCAACTCTGTGATGATGAAATGGACTTATGTTACTGTGAATTAGTCTGGAGCTGAGACTGTGAGAAATGTAGATCCTGTCTAGTCTTGCTGCACTCACCCTGTTGTTACTGACCCTCACCCATGTGTATTGGATTGTGGATGTTTGACCCTCCATGTGTCTAACAGATCGAGCTGTGTGATGATGGTTTAGGCTTTGAGAGGACTGTGGGTGGGGTTCCTCACTTGTCCTGTCCACAGTAAAGTCTACAGTACAGTTAAAATCCCCACCTATGATTAAATGATCCTGGTGGTGATTCTTTAGCTGATTGAGTAGCAGGGTGAAAAAACCTACTCTTTCTGCTCCCTGATTTGGGGCATATACGTTTACAAAGCAGATTTCAGAGTTTTCTATTTGTGCCCTTACCAC